CTGGAGCTGGAGATCCTGCTGTTTTCCTCTGCTCCAGTTTGCCGTGCTGTGTTTGCATTTGTCCAGCAATATCCTCTGCGCCTGTTCCAACAAGCCAGGAGACACATGTTCCCTTGTTTGGCCAAACACTTGAACCGAAATGGTTTCTTAGTGGGCCAGCAGCGAACAGCTGGGCCACCCTGGCGTATGCGTAACATCCTTAGAAGCAGGGCAGTCGGAAAATTGCATTCCCCGGGCAGAGACTAGAAAATTCACAAAAATGTACCTTCAATCAATAATCGAATGGGAATGTACCGAGCACGAATTAAGTGGGTAAGAGGAATGGAATGTTGAGGCAGGGTGGAGTGTTGCCTCTGTTCTTGAATTTAATTTTGCATGATTTGTGCTGCTCGTGTGACCAGCCTGTGGCCAATAAACGTGACTCGACCACGTTTCCTGGCTTTCTGGCTTAAGTCTTTATGTAAATTTGCCTTCCATCCGACCCCACAGCCTACTCGGGACTCGGGACTCAGGGGTGAGTGGTTTGTTTTGTCTCCCACAATGGTTGCAGGCTGTGGCAGCTGCAGCAACATTGATGCACGTACGAACATAAATAACCGCTGTGCGGCGAGGGCAGTTTGATAGTTCGAAAATCCCTCCAAATTGTGTAAGCCTGGCTGGAAGCAAAGGCCATTGAGTTGAAGCCATTTAGTCTGGGCAAAGAGTTTCGAGTTCAGGGATTATGTTGTTTGGCTGCATCTATCAAGGTGAAGGCTCACCAGAGGCAGGAAAATCCAAAGCTGAAGGCTGTTAAAGTTTAATTTGTTGATATGCATTTTTTTTCCTTACTCATTTAACTGCCAGACGTTGTTGGCTACAATTACGCTTTAATTAGAAATAACTTGAGGGGACTCCGGCAGCTTTCCGGGGAACGAGGAGGAGACGGCGGCGCCCAACGAAGCAGGGAACATTGCATTTTCCACTCGACAGCAGCAGTTGAGTTTATTTTTGTGGCTGCCATGTGGTGCTAATATATATATATATTGTATATATTCTGCAACTTTATACACATCTACATACGCGTCCATTTGTAATGCACATTTGCACACATGTCGGCGAGGAGCTTGGCATTGTCAGACATCGGACTGCAAAGTTAATTTGCAATTGAAATGGCAAATAGAAAACGTCGACCACATTCACTTAACGCAAGCTGTCATTTTCTAAGGCAGCTTCTCTACAGATATATACAAAGATATGGCTGCCTTCCTGCCCGGCCATTGTGTTTGGCCACAATTAAAACCGGATACCAAATACTGCTCAAACATTTTCCTCTGGTTTTTCCTTTTCCATCGTTTAAGCATTTATAATCGCAGAATGTTCTGCATAAATTGAACAAAAGCAAGGGCTCCTCTACTCTAGGTCCTCTTCTGAATGTATGCGCATAAATTGAAGCAAATTGCGCTGGTTTGCTAATTATTATGCGTCGGTCCAGAGCCCCAAATATGACCTCACCCGCGGTGGTGGGGCGGGCAATGTTGGATTAACTCTTGATTAGGCAGTTAGTCAGTTCTGGAATGGGCCAAATAAAAGCGAGAAAAATAGAACGCATAAAATGTTAATTGTCAGCAAATAGTGCTGCAACTTGGCAATAAAAATCATGCAATGAAAAGCGTATTGTTACTTTCAGCTCGGAACGAAGAGTTTATACCCTCTGAAAAAGAGCGTTTTTGTAATGATTTAAAATGCATTTTCTCTCTTGTTTACCTCAAGAACACATTTATTGTGTTAACTGAAACCAATACATGAGGGCAATACATTCTTATAATAAGCTTAAGAGGATGAACTAAAAATATTTTTGCAGGAATAAAGAAGCAAAAACTTCTGTCTTTTACAGGATATGAGCATCCGATTTGATTGCAAACTAAAATATCTTAAATAACCACTAAGAAATGCTTTCATTTCTTCTGGAAAATCGTTATTATGCCAATTCGGAGAATAGCTTTTAAGCGGAGCTACCAAATACTATATCAGCAAATGGCTAGAAGGATATGTGTACTATATATGTTAAAGAAGAACTTGTAGTATTAACATTCAGAAGTTACTCTTCGAACGGGTGTTTAGAACTACTATATTATTATAATGGCTCTAATAACCTTGATAGTGCAGAAATAAGATCGATTAAAGAATGACATAGTATTAGCCCAAGTCAAAGTTAGATATGAAATGAGAAGAGTTATATAGAATATAGAGATTATATAACCCCAACCAGTTCAAAGGGTATAATTGCTCCTTCTGATTCTGCACTTGTTTGGCATTAACGACACATTCAAGAGCTTTGGACATTTGATGTTAGCGTTAAGCACTGGCCATAAAGCGGCCTTTATCATCGATTCATTTGGGTGAAAATAATTGAAATAGTTTCGGAAATGCGAATGCAGTTGGGCCAAACTTTATGCGGCTACTCTGTGAAATTACGATAAGCCATTATGCACATTTCAAAGGAGAACTAATCTAGCATAATATTCAAATTGAATGCCCGGCTACAGTGCACGGTCCAGCTCCGCCAATTATGGCAAATGTGTAATTATGAAATGAATTATCGACCAAACCTGAGGGCAGATGCCAGCTGGCTCGGATTTCCGGCTTGAGCCGGGTCCAAATGCAAATTTAAAGCTCAAATATCCCAGCTGAAATCCTCCCCTGCTATCATTTACATCAAAGACCTATCAGTGCCGCCTCCTCGGAGCGCTGTGCCAATCATTCGAAAACCAAAACTTAAAGTAATCAAAGCCCAAACAAAACAAGAAGCCCCAACAATGGCAGAGCTCGAAAAGGAAGGCCTAAAAATACCAAAAGAATGTGAGCTGGGGCCAGGACGGGCCGATGGCCAAGGCGGGGCATCGGAATGGAATGCCGCCCGATGGGGTCATATGGCAGAAAGGATTACACGTGGCAGCAGGGACTGGGAAACTGGGAAATCCCCGCCCGGGCCACTTGGGCACGCTGCTGCGGCTCCTTCACCGGAACTGCCGGTCTAAGCAAAAGACAACGGCCAAACAACCCAGAACCGAGACCTGAGAGCAGAGAGCTGAGAGCCTAGGCAGCAGAAATAACAGTGGCCAACTTTTGACTTGGAAAAGCAGAAAAGCAAAGGGAAATCACAAAAACGGAAAAAAAGGAAAACAGCCTGAGAAACAAGCATTTGAGGCTAAGACTAAGATTGAACTTTTCACTCTTTCTAACGATTTTGATTAGTTTATGATTATGTTTCGAGTAAAAACTGATACATCGGTAAATATAATATTTGTTTAAATAAAGTAAAATAGGTAAAAAGACTCTCTTAAACCTCATTATTATTATATAATACATATTATAGGACAGTACTTAAATATTTTGTCTTGTATGTTAAGTATACTATTTAAACTAGGTTTGAAGTAGGTTCAATCCATTCTTAAGTTTTCTGTTCAGGAATATAATGTTTTTCATCTAAAATACGTTCATTTTCCTAAACTGACTACGAATGGTACGAACAGGAACTGAATTAAGAACACAAACCTCTTGCCTTTCAGCTTAATCGTTCCCAGCTGAGAAAACCTGTAAAAATGAAGCCGAGTCCCAACCCCTAACAGCCACCATAAACCGATGAAATCTGTGCTCCATTTGCGAGCAGAGCAATTTCCGGTAACACAAAAAATAGAGGGGGTAAAAAAACATTGAAAATAATTTGCTGACTCTGATCCCGCCTTCCGTTGTTAAGCAATTAAATAGCAATTAGCGTGCAGTTAATTAATTGCATTTTTGAATTACACACGTGAGGAGCTTCTAGGCAGACGCAATGTGTGCAGTTGGTTGCCCCAGTTGAACACGTGTAAAATCAACATGTTGTTCCTTGGCATATGTAAATAGTCCACCTTCCTGCTATCCTGCCTTCCTTTGCCGTGCCACCCAAACCAAGACGCACACACGGAAGCCACGTGGAAACTATCTCGGCTGTGCTCTTTAAAGTGGAGCTGAGAGTTTCCAGCACTCACTCACACACTCCTGCCCGGGTTTTTCATCAACAAGTTTGCAGTGCTTGATTTCTGGATTTCTCGACTTCAGCCCAGTTCGCTCTGCTCCAAGAGCACACACAAAAAACAGTGAAATTCACAGAAAACGTAACAAAACAAACAGATAAACAAACACTTACACACATATACATTCTAACAGACCATTGCCAGGCGCCCACTTATCCATCCACCATCCACCACCCCCTACCCATTCCCTTTTCCAACAGCAAAAACTTCCACTCCAGCTGAATCCCTTTCCGCTTTTCCGATCCCGAAACTCCCTCTTTCGGGCTGTCCGCGTGCCTTACTTTTTTGCCTCTGCAATTTGTTTGGGAAAATAAAACTTTTATCAAGCAAAAAGGAGGCACTCTCTGAACGCTTTCTCTCAGCGGCAACAAAAAAGTGCAAAAGTTCTCTTGCCATCTCTCTTACACTGGCAGAAAACTGTCGACGAACGGAAATATACAAAACAGTGGGTCGAGGGTGGTTGAAAGAGAAAGTTATTGGATATATTGTTTTGGGTATAAGATTTTTACTGTGAACATATATTGTTTTGTTAATTTGAAAAGAAAACAAGTAAAAGTAAATTCTTAATAATAAAAAATTCAATAAAAATAAACGAAAACTAATTTAAATTTTATTAATTTAATTTTTCAAGTCATCGTTTGTTTTGACTATTAATAAGTAAATAACCAAAATATTTAATAATCTCGTTGAACAATTTTATCTACATTTCGTGCCACTGTGCTCACAGCTGGTTTTTGTAGTGACGTTACGTATACGCAGTGGGTGCCGCGTGAGAGCGGCGCTGAGAGCAGAAGTCAGGCAAGAGAGCCGGAGAGCAGCAGTTGCGCTCTTCGGCGCAGTTTTGTTGTTGCTCCTGGCCTGGCCACACGGATTTTCCAGGGGTATTTCATCTGCCTGCGAATCTCGGGCAGCGTTCAGTTTCATCTGAGACGTTTGGCGCAGCGGTCGATAGCAAAGGAAATCAGGCCAAACGCTGTGAAAAGATACGAACCAGAAAAGAACAAGGCGAAAAAACTCAAAAATTCTCCTAGGAAAACTAGAATCTTGAACAAAGGATATTTCAAATTTTCCACGAACTTTCCTCGGGTGAACACAAATGAAGAGTGAAAAGTGACTTAGAGAAACCAAGTTTAGCAAGTGTTGTGGTATTTTAAGGAAGAGGAACTCGAAAGTATCCTGCGGTGGCGAAGTTTTGCATTTGCCGTCGCTAATTGTGAGACTCGAACTGCAGCTGACAGGCGGCAATCAGAAGTGCAAAGGAAATCGGAAAGGAAAAACTTTAACTCCTACCGCCGGTCGCGTCTCACACTTCATCCAAATCCGAATACGAATCAAAATCCCGGGAAATTGTTCGCCTGCCAGGCCTCAAGCTGGGCGATTACCGCAAAATGACACGTGTCAGGCGCATTGTGGTGAGTCCTGAGTTCTGAGTACCGAGGAAGGCTCGTCCTTTCAGCTGTCTTTTGCCTTAAGCAGCGGAATTCCCGCCTTTAAAGCAGCACACTTTAAAAACACACCCACTCCCACCCACAGACACACATTTTTCACAGACCGAATTTTTGCGGCATGCCTTTTTTGCCCTTTGCCCGTTTCAGCGCCGCCAAATTGAATTTCGCATTTTAACGCGTTTGCATGCCGACTTGCGCGGGCCCCTCCCCTAACTTTTACTGCTAATTTTATATTTATTTTCATTTGCCATCGAATTTCCCGCTCTTTGAACTCTGACCATTCATCAATGGCTAATACTCTTTAGCCGCAGGACATTATCGTGAGCTTTGTCGAGGGCGGTTCGGTCCAACAAAAAGCAAATATTTAATTTTAAAAGGGGAAAAGGCTTTTGCCTTTGCTTTCCGAGCAATTTACAACAGGAACTTACAAATAATATGCTCAATAGGATTAGGGTATCCCAAGCCAGCGTCTTGGTCACCTTCTGTTGCCTTTGCACGAATTTTTATTTTACGATTATTGCCGCATTGCCGCCCGGAAGAGGAGAAAAGTAGGCGGGCACTTCCACGTGATGTATACGCCCCTCATATGTCCGTGAGGGTTTTCTTACTTTTTATGCGTTTACTGGCCCGAAAATCGTGAGGTTAACCTAAAGCACACAGACAAACTAAACCTTATCGCCCGGCCAAGTTGGCTGCCAAAAACAGAAGACCATTGAGAGGAAGAAATCGCGCATTAATTTCCAAGAGTCCTTATCTGAGCCTTCAAACTGGCCAACTGGCTCTTTGGTTTTGGCAGCTCAGTGGAGAAGAGAACCAACAAAACTGCAAAAAAAAATTACGAAAAAAGGAATGCAAATGCAGTTGGTGGAACTCTTGTGGAATTTCCCTTTTTTCCGGGTAAATTTTCTACCTTTTAGGCTTATTTCGGGCACCAGCAAAGGTATGAAAATCCAGCGCAAAAACGCGGTCCCAAAATGGTGGAAACAAAGTCGAAAAAAAGTGAGATGGAAAAATGTCAAAACAAGCTACTAAAGCGATTCACGTGAAGAGGGAGGGACGAAGGTCGCGGGCCAAGTGAAACATGGTGAGGGCCAATGTCGAGCATACGCCGGGTTGGACACGAATTTGAGCAAATATTCCAGGCCAAGTTGATTGAACCTTGAACGCAAACTTTTCCCTCTGTCACGGCAGCTTTTCTAGGTTATCAGTTATCCGGTTAGGGCTTTTACTTGCATTTGAACTTTGGCTTTGGCTTTGGCTTTAACTCTGGCCGCCAGGTAGATTTGAATAACGAATGCAGTCACCTCCGTTTCCGTTTCCGATTTTGGGAACATTTTATTGAATTTAAATCAAAGTTTATTCAAAATAAACAGTTTGTTCCGGAGACTAATTTGGTGCCAATTTATATAAACTAATTTATTGTTTCTGTTTTCTAAAATAAAGCAACATCTCGGTTCCGGAATGATTTTGATCTGAAGGAAACAAAAATATAGAAGTCCCTTCCTCTCTAATACTTATTTTGACTAGCCCTTGAGCTGAAATTTATCTTAGTTAGTGCAATTTTTGTCTACAACTTAATTTGGCCAACTTGTGCCCAAGTTCAGCCATTAAAGATCATCAATCTGGCCTCATTATTCAAAAGGCCCCAGCCCGCAGCCACTTGGCTCGCATTAACCTGTTGTCAGCCATTCAGAGGCCTCGGAAAATGCCAGCTTTTCCTCGGCAGGCAAACAGGCGCACACACAAATCAAATGTAACAGGCACTTGTAAAATGTCCTGCTCATCCCCGCCCACATGCGGAGGGCGTGGCCCTTGGCAGAGAGCGTCACGTTTATCACAACAGGGCAATAAATTTCATTCGCCTTGTCCCTGCTGGCAGAACATTTTATGGTCCCTTCATTTTCGACAGCTGCAAACAGTCGAATCCGAATGCCTTTGCATACTTGACGAGGCTTTGTCAATGCACATTATTATCTGCAGAGCCACGCCCCCCTTCGCTGGGCGAACAAACATTTTATTTTGTCATTTTGATTGATGGCCATCAGCCATCAGGCCGACATTCTCGACTCGTGTTTGCTCGCCGTTTTAATTAAAGTGCGAGTTTTCGGGGGCGTCTCGCACAGCCCGGAAAACTATGCTACGCTCGTTTCAAGTTCTCCGTCAAGTCCGACGGCACGCACACATCCTTCATCCTTCAAAAATATTATGCTTTCCGAATCGGTGTGAAGCGCTCGCCGGCAGCAAAACGCTTTTTGCTTTTTCGGTTAAGTTTGAGGTGAAGACTTCTGGCACACAATCATTAGCAAAATGCTATGTAGTTGATGGAGCGGATGCTTCACCCGGCGGATGATGGATGATGAATGCGGTTCCTGCGGCTTCTTGTCGGGCTTAATCTCAAGAAATTCCACAGTAAACGAAAGGCTTAACCTGCCAGCCAAACGGAGGGTGAACTTTGAAATTCCGTCTCGCAGAAATTCCATCAAATTATGAACCTATAAAAAGGCAGCTTTTATGCGAATTTTCGTTTGGCGCAAAGCTCGGCAATTACAGGCCGCCTTTCGAATACCCAATTTGGGCCAATCTCGCCGCATTACGTATACGCACTGTCATCTCCAACACTGAGTTTTAATAGCTTAGATTATGTACTAAAAAAATGAATGAAAAGGCCATTCCTTCGCACGCCTGCGTGTCCATTAGAGTTATGGTCGCGAATGTCCGGTTATAACATCCAGCACGGACCATTAGGCAGGTGAGGGTGTCTCTTTTTTTACTTTTTTCCTCCTGCTGCTGCTGCTGCTGCTGCTACTATCGTTCTAAAATTGAAGTGCCAAGCCAGCGGGGTGTCAACACCGCAGTGCAACAACAACAACGACGACGACGACAACAGCAGCAATGGATACAGCATAAAATGGCTTGATTCGGGGGATGAGAGGACACAGAAGGAGCAGGACATCCAGCCGACAGACAGCACAAAAGGCTTTCAAAGGAGAGACGACGGACCAAAGCCCACTTGCTGGCAGACCAAATTGCTTTTTGCTGTACAAAAACCGGGTAAACAGCAGCGGCAACATCAACAGCAACACCGAATCCAGCAGCCAGCCTGTCAACGGGAGCCAGGACAGGCAGCAGGTGGTAGGATAGAGATGCCCCAGAGTCGTGAACGTGTAGCAATATTGAATAAGATTACACGCGCTCCAGGGCGAACTCAAGATGGTTGAAATGCCTTAGTTAATGTTTTTTAAAGAAGAGTATAAACTAGAGTGTAGTTGTCAGGATTATTTTGTCAATTTATTTCCTTCTAAGGCTAGACAAAGCAACCCAATTAACTATCTCAAATATTTCCCAAGCGCTTTAATTCCTTTTATTCCTTAAGTTAATCAGGATCGTATGGATCATTTATTTTATTAAAATCCGAATTTAAGTAATCAAATCACCTGGCTAAGATAGCCAAGCATAATCACATCTTTAGGCAAATTCACACAACAAACTAAATGCATTACATCCCTAGTCATTTCCTGCTGATTAATCATTGAAATTTGCAATCTATTGTGATTTAAATAAGATTACACAGTCTTAGACAAGCTGCTTGAGCAAGAACTTGACTTTGTTTATAAAATATTCAGAAGGAGAGAGGAAATTAATTTACTATTTTAAAGGCTAGCTAAACAGAAGTCTGCAGGACATATAGTTACCAAGAGAAAATAAAACTCTTGAATTTCTTAAATAAATAAATTAATGAATAAATTAAAACAGCAATATCTTGTTTTTATAATAGTTACCCGTGCCTAGCATTGCCCCTTGGGAACAGTTTCAGGACATTGACTCCACAAAACGACCTATCACGAGGCCAGCTCCAGGGTAAATTAGGAGGCAACCAAAAGATAGGACTGCGAATGCAAAAAGAAGATAAAAAGTATATAATATATATATATATATATATTCCATTTTTGTGGCCTGCTCTGAGCCCACTTTAGTGTTTGCGCTGGGCATTTTAATTAAGCTAAGCAAACACACCGAAAACAATTATAGACATTTTCGCTCTCACCTGGAAAGCGCCGCAAAAATACAAGCTGTGTGCCTGGCCAAGGCTTTTATGAGGATAATGCTGCTTCACACTTCATTTCGTTTCAATTTGAAGTTTTGTGTGCGCCTTTTGCTTATGCTATGCTTTTTGTATTTCCACTTTTTATTCCCAGCTGCGGCTGCGGCTGCTGTGCCAATTATGCCGGTAAGTTGCTTTATTACACGAGGCTACGGCACTCTGCTCCTCGATTCCTCGATTCCTCCGAATGGCTGCCATTTCTCCAAGCAATTCCCCGTAATCGTCCTGCTCGACGTCGTCTTGGTGTTGCTTTATTAAACCTTAGCAGCGCAATCACCGAAATGAGCCCACCCACACCAGCATTCACATCCACGCACACCCTGACAAACAGGCTAGCACACACGTTCGGATATAGCTCACATCGGGAGGATTGTGCAGAATCACCTCCGAGGGCACGTGCAACATTTGTATTTAAATTTGAATGTCTCTGCCGCCAGAGCGCTTCACCTTGCACACAGCCTCATCTTCTAACACGCTCCCAGACAGTCGCAGAAATACACATATACACAGAGAAAGTATATACACATTTACATCTGCAAGTACAAGAGACCCACACCCACAAACACTCACTCACAAAGGAAGCAACAATTTTCACTTCTACTAAGATGCGCGCCCAAGGTTGGCCTCAAAAGTTTTGAGAGCAGCAGAAGAAAGTCAACGGATTTAGCTGGTTCAAGATATGGCCTAATTGATGGATGATTGTGTTGCTTCACAGTTCACAGAATGGTTATTAAGTAAGGGCTAGATGGATTGTAGTCACCTGTTAGTATGTGCAGAAGATTGAATATATCGCTATTTTCATCTACAGTCTACAGTTACTTCGCTTGCAGAGTAAGAGAACTAATCCTTTTGAAACATTTTA